AATGAGCAGCGAGCCACCAACATTGCCATCATCGAATGACACCAGTTCTTCTACCACTTCTGCGGGTGACACCGGTTCTTCTGTTTCCGGAAGCCCGCCTTCTTCTCCGACTCCAGAAACAGACACTACAACATCGAGTACAGAATCCACCTCCACACCTTCCAGTCCTCCTGGTCCTGTTCCTCCTCCTCCTGGTCCTACTAGTCCGCCCACTCCTCCTTCTACCGAGTCTCCGTCCAGTGGTACGCTACGTTAATTTTGTTTCAATATTTCATTCCTTTTTTTTATTGTAGGTCTTTCAGGCGGAGCAATCGCTGGAATTGTCATTGGTGTTATTCTGTTTATCCTCTTGCTCATTGGTATTTACTTCCTTGTTAAATCGCTCAAGGTCCCGGATGTCCAATTCGAACCTGATGAGGATGAGGGAGAGGAGGATTACCTTTAACCTTTTCCTTTCCTCTTGACTTTGACTTTCTACTTTTTTTCTGTATTTTCGTTTTGCAAATGGAGCCATTTTTTTCAAAGGCTATTTTTACTCTTAATGAATTTTTCCTTCCACTTGTTTAAGGTGGAAGCCGGATTTAGTCATATCGTCCTTTCTCTTATTTTTTGGTAAACCAAAACACATATTTGTGTATAAAATCTGCTGTTATTTTGATTTTTTAATTAATTGCGGGATTTTCCTCAATGTTAGAGACCACACACCCTTGTTTCATGGAAGGTGTTGTGGTGTACACTTGGTCGGTGAGGCGTCGGGGGGTTTTGTGGATGTGAAAACCCCAAATCAACCAGTCTTTTTGGCGTAGAGACCAGTTTTGAAGTTTTTTTGTAGTGGGGCACCCTCCCAACTCCAATTTAAACTCACCCAGCCTTTTCGGTCCATCCAAGTGTTGTCTTTTTTCCTTTCAAACCAATTTTTAAAGTCTTTCAAAGTGAATGATGGCTATCTAGGCCCCTCAGAAAGTTTGATTTACCCCAGAAGTAAGCGACAAGCCTGGCAAGAGATTGCTTTTGGAGATCGAATTACAACAGGCTTAGCTAGCAGCTGAGAGACCTTTCGGAATGCCACTTTCAAACACTCGTCGCAACATTTTAAGTCCGACTGAGGCATTACTTCTGATTGCACAAGATTGTAGTAAAGTCTATGTGGTGACTGTCAGACGATTTGAAATATTATTTTTTACTAGCTGTTTTTTGATGCCTTAATCAACTACCAGCATCACTGGGTGTGTCTACTGTGCCCTCCTTTTGTCTCAAAATTGGCTCGGTTGAGGTGGGGATCCTGACCGTACCAGTAAAGTTCCAATGCTGTGGCGTAGACAGCGGATGCGAGTCGCTAACAGCGCTTCCGTCTTAAATAATCAATGTTGCATGCCTCTCGCATCATCCACCGCTCCTTTTTTTGTGCCTTTCACTTTTATACTACTTAAAAATCAACACACTACGTTAATAATCTCAACGATCTTGCAATAGGGAAATTTTTTTAATACTTTCATATTTGGATCTTCTTTTTTTGGCAATTTCTTTGCTATACTCCCGCAATACAAATTACGCTCTGTTAATGACGACTGTGTGAAATGGATGAGAAGTGTGTGGGACTAAAGGGCTTCGGCTTCAGGTTGTTGCAACACAATTTGTAATTGTGCGAGCACATCAAAAGCGTTTTGATGGGTCGCATATTTTAAATCAGCGTACACCAGTGAAGAATGAGAAAGAGTGACAGGTGAGTTATAAATACCTCTCAAGGCAAATCTCATTTCTTTTTTTAGTTGCCTTCGTTGTCCCTTTGATCAACTGTACACATGGGTTGTTAGGATTTGTTCGCATCAGACTTCTCTCTCCCACTGCTTCTCTTCCCTCCACACAGAAGTGGATGTTGTGCAAAAATGTATGCAATAAACTTCTAATTGTCTGTAAACAAAATTTATTCCGTCATAGAATATGGAATGGATTCCACACTGTGTAATGGTATCCGCCCTCCAGAACACACCTTTTAGAAACGATTTGACATTTTAACGCTTCAAACGCACCGATGTGACGCATACCCTTGAGGTGCTGGTAAAATCGTCGGGTGTGTTAACGTCACTATCATCTCATTTGCACTGACAGCACAGTTAATGTTTTGGGGTGTGTGTTTGTGTGTGATAGGCTAGAGAGTGGGATGTACGGTGGGATCGTCAATCACTATGGCAGAAAGATTGAATAATGAGTATTAAGCTTGCAGAGCTCGATTAATTATCTCATCATATTCGTCATAAACGCTGCCGCCTTTTTTGTGCCATAACCAAGTCTGGTGGTGCCGTGGTGTTTGCTGGTGAGAAAGAGTGGGCGTGATGTGTACTTGGGTATGTTTAAATCACTTCAAGTGATCTCTTCGAAGGCCAAATTGGAGACGCAGCTCTCAGTTAAACATCAAGGCTTGTTAAGACAGGTATTTGTTAAGAAAATGGGATTAAAGGTGAGTGTGCAAATGTTGGGGGCGCGAACCGCAAGCTCGTTCTGCTTAGGGAGATTTGCCATTAGTGTGGATTTGGTGATAACATAAGACGCAAAATGGCATTCAAGTAGTGTTTGAAAAGTGAGTGAAAGCTGAAAGGAACTGCAAAGTAGACAGACCTTTGTGTGGAACGATGAGCAGCATGCATTGCCACGATCTCGCACCATGTACAATGACAAGCGGATCCAACCGACAGATGTGGCGGTACAATGGAGGCATCGGGTTCGCCAATCAGTGCGATTGTGCAAGGCCTGATGAGCTGTGGAGAGTAGGAATTCCTACCCCTATGACACTGCGGTAAAGCCAACGACATGAGGCACACGTCCGAGTTAGGCCTTCAGCCCACTCGGTTGTCTTAGGCTAAGCCTCATCTTGCATGCTCCTGTATAATTGTGACAGGGTCGGGGTCATCCTCTCCACTGCCTTTCCATCTGATGCTCCTTCAAACGCTCTATCGATGTATGCGTCTCTTACTTGAGCTTGACATTCTGCTTTGGGTCTTTGGAGGCCCATATCAGAGGACAATACGCATGAGCCAGCTCTAAGACCGTGAGGTGAGGAAATGTGAGACATTTCGGTAGGACTTGGGAGGCGATTTGAAACGCAGACATTCCTCCGTGCACCATCTTCACCGCATCAAATCGAAATGACCCCTCACCCCCAATTTAGATGGCTTTCCTCCATTGGTAACCATCACCTCTTTTAAAGTCCCATACGTCACTTAGGTGACGCCTTTCAATCTTTATTTAGCATTTTGAAACCATTCTATCTTGCTTGTCTTCTTTAAATCGAAGATATGTGTTTGAACTAACTGTAGCGTTCTTTGAAGGTCATGAAGTGTACCAACCAAGAATGTGAGAGAAAGTGGAGTACAGAGTGGGCTGAGTGGATAAGTGGTAGTGCTTATTAAAGTGCGAAGCAGTCATGCTGCGTGCGTTATCGTCGGTTCGGGGGCCTCACATTAAACTGCAAGTCACCAAATGCGCAGGCGTCTCCATGATTCATGCTATAGCAGCACACAAGAGAATAACGTCAACAAAAAGGAAGAAGAGGCAGCTCAACTGATGAGAATGAAAGTGGAGAGAGAAAGGTGGGTGGAAAAGGCTCGATAGTGAGTGGGGAGGCAAAGGGGATGGAGGAGATTGAGAAATCAATTGAATAACTAAGTGATTAAAATGTAATTTAATAAGCAAGTAAATGAAGTCGCTGTGGCTTCCTCCTTTATTTTAGCCTTTCCTCTAAGACACTAGTTCACTCAATCATTTCGTCTCTTACTCTAACAATGAGTGACGATCGTTTCTCTCAGTCCTTCCACCCTACCTCCTTCCCTTCCCAGGCATGTGCTACGTCAGCAAGCCTCACTCCTGTCTGAGTGGTCCCCGAACACCCACAGGAGACGCTACGAAAACTTCACCGTTTGGCATATGATCGGTTCTAATTTACAAAACAGGACAGAGCCCCAATAACACACTTTCTCAACTATAAAAGTGCTTCTTCAGCGTCTATGAACACGGACTTTGACGCTCTCTACCAATTATGACAAATGACAGTGCACAAGAGCGAACAGCATGTCCGTGCCAAAGATCGCTCAGATGTCAGCACTACTTTACCTTCAGCTACAACCAAATGGACGAAGTACTCCACCAGTAATCATGCGAATCAAGCCACCCTTGAGACAGAAATTTTGTGCCACGTACTTGCCCGCGGATGGCAAACCACCTCACTACCAGAGATGCTGCAAATACGATGCCCAACCAGGCGCCCGGAGCCGTCAATTTCGAAGGAATACACACATTCTCGACCAATTGCGCACACCACTCTGCGCAATGCGACCTGCCTGAGTTGAAAGCAAAGGGCAGCTACTCCAGCTTCCCTCCCTTCCTAAAGCGCCTTCCCAGTTCTGCTTATATCAGTGCCAATCACTGCCATTCAGCTGCGCCAAATAAAAGCACAGAATCATCAGACGAAATAGCATCGAATCGACTCTCGCATTTCTCGAAGAGACCCGCATCAATGACCTCGATCCACTCTTCCATACGCAACCGCCCATTTGACCAGAAGAACAAAGTACCACAAGATAACCGGAAAAACTTCAATAAAGTTACCGTCCCGTAACTTCTTCTGCCTCCATGATGTACTGCATTTGTCCCTCCAATACAGCCATGGGAAACGCCAGTGGAACACGCATGACGCTTTGGACTACTTACCTCGTACAGCCCGCAAATTCAGAGTAAAGCACAATCATGTAAGTCGGACCATTCAGTCCCCCTACTCAACTCAATCTCATTGAAAGTTAAGTCATACCATTTCTCTACCCACTTTCACCACTACATATATTACAAGCTTGCCGAATTGGCATATTCGAGTCTACATGTCTCGAGATTGGCTCGAAATGCAGCTTAAAGACTGGCGATGGGGCCTCATGATCATCCCCGTCATTTTCCAAGGTATTGAAATTATCCAGGGTGATCATCAAGGAACCTTCACATTCTTCTCCATCGGAGGCGCACTCAGAGAGACCTCCTTTAGTGATGTTTGCAGAATCTTGTTCTGTTGGATCATCCACGGTTACCATGTTGCCAGACGCGTTATTCGGTGCTGTTCTACTACACTTGGAGGTTCTTTTCTCCTCGCGCAAGCCCTCTCGCTTTCCACCGCTCAGCGTCACTGCAGTTGTCAAAGGGGAAGGCCCAATCAACGAGTCTGCGGAGATTCCTGGGTGGTTCTCGCGAATATGCACTTCCAAAACCCACTTTCGACGCTGCGGCATCACCTGCTCGCACAAAGGGCATATCTGAAATACCAAAATCCACTGGATTACATTTTGTTTACTTGAGTAAGAGTAGTAGCAAATCAATTTCACCTGTGGGTGCTCTGTTCGCAAGTGTATTTTCAATGCCTTCTTCGAACTGAATGTAGCTCTACAAGTCTCGCAGACGTGTTCTATAACCAAGCCATGCGTGGTAACTCGATGTGACCTCAGAGCCTGAATAGTAGGGAAACCGGCTGGACACTCTGGACACAAATGTTTCCGTCCCAACGCCGCCACGGTTGCCATTGCATTCAACGCTGTGACGTGTAAAGTTTCTGAATCCTCCTCATCATCTGCCAGTTCTCCCTTGAAGCGAATCTCGGCATCGATAGACCTTCCAACAACTCCGGCAGCTGCTAGAACCTGTGATTTTGGTGCGTCGGTGCGTAGCCACATGCCAGGAGCGTCATTAGCCCCACTTCTAACACCATGAGTGCGTAAATGACGGTTGAGGAGGGACTTTGAGGCAAGTGAAAATCCACAAAGTCGGCAAACAAACGGCCTTTCACCCGAATGTGATCGCATGTGTTCGTTTAGATGAACCTTCTGTCTATACGCCTTTGGACAGAGGTCACACTTAAAGGGCCTTTCGCCCGTATGCGTTCGAATGTGCTTCTCACGCGCACTAGCACGGCTGAAGTTCTTGCCACACAATTCACACTCAAATTTGCCACTGTTTTCATGTCGATCCATGTGCTCACGAAGGCTACCTCGACGCATCGACTTCTGGCAGGTACTACAAGTGACTATTTCTCGATCCCGATCCCTCACTGGTTGGGAGGTCACCCTTTCAGGAAGAAAGAATAGAGTGGAGGGTGATGAACCAGGGTTTTCGAAGCCAATTGGGGGAAGAATCTGGTCTGTGGTGGAGTCAAGTGCTGAAAAGATCGAAAATTTACTAGTCTCCATTACCTTCGAGATCAGGGCAAATGCTTGAAGTGGATTGGCAACCGCTGCTGGGGTATCACAACTACTTGATGATACCACTGTCTGTAATGCAGTGGTTGTGTCGATGCTTGTGAACACCGTGGGAAGTGATGACTCCTTTTGTTTTGGCGTGCCCTTAATACGTGGCATTCTGAAAGACAACGCTGCTCCAAAAAAAAAAAAAGAAAACATATGGGACATCTCGCTACCAACCAGACATTTTCACACCTACTGAAATCGAAGCATGAAAGGAGGCTGTTTCAACTGTGTTAATTAACTCAACCAAAGATAAAAAGTAGAGACTAGCATATGCAACCCAAGCTACACCGCGTGCTAATTGGAAAAAAAAGGACAAACCACAACTCACAGAGGCGAAACACGGAGCTAAACTGACAGTCATAAGCGCGAGCCCTTAGCCCGAATGCGACAGACTTTAACCAGGGCCTTAACTGTCCGCCTATCAGATCACGAAACGAAGTTGGAAACGCACGCACGCACGCTCACGCACATTGCGCACGGTCTGCAGCCATACGTGCCACAGATCGAATCCTCGCACCCACTGGATAGGTAGACAGGCGGAAGACGTGCATGAGTGCTTGCGTGCGTCCGTGTTGGAGTAGTGCCACTTAAATATGGTGAGACAGACAGGCATGCATCCCCATGTTTGGATGCATGCGTATCTATATCAAAGTGCGGGTGTGTTAGTGTACTTTTTTGATTGGACCGGACACCACCGTACTTCATTATCTTCTATTTGCGTCCAGAGCGGTGCCAGGTAAAGATCAAACAAAATTGTGGCCCTGGAACTCCGAATTCGGGGATAATGCCATCGGGATGGTCATGGGATTGGGAGCGTTGAGATTTAACAATAGAGGCTATATTTTTGGCCCTCAAACACCAAAAAGCACCAAAGTTGTCTATGTTTATTTCAACGCAGCATTAACATGGCGATTTAATAGCAAGTGTCTTGCAATCAGAGTGCGTAACGGAACTTGGATCCCTTGAAAGGTGAGAAGATGGGGTGATGTAAGCCACTGTGAGTTTCCGAAGTCGGGAAGATGGTTTAACTTCTCGTGCAACTAAGTTCAAAGAAGAACCCGATATATGTATCGAAAACAGACACGAGTTTTTCTCAGCTGGTCAAGTTTGCTGTTAACTAGATCATACCGACAAATAGACCACCTAACTGTAAATTTTTTTGCAGTCAAGATACAGCAATCAAAACAATACAGTAAGCTGAACAATCATTGCTGAAATACATGCTAAAATATTTAAGTTGCTCTTATAGAGGAAAGGCGTTCAGTCAATTCAAACGACGTACTGCCATGTTGTCGCTCCAACTACGTAGCTTTCGCCACCCTGAAGTTTTTCCGAGTTCTAAAAGAACCATGATGACAAAAAACAGGGCAGGAGGGTCGCGCAAATTTTAGTACAAGGAAGAAGGATTCGAAGTTCGGATTACCCTAGACTCCAAACCGCATAACCAAAGCCCTACATGGACCATTATTGTGGTGAAACACTGCAGTAGGAGCCATGTATGATGGGTTTGCAAACTGATTTTCTCAGTATGTGAGGCAATCCAGTAAGTGAAGAATTGGGTCCGCATTTAGATGAGGTTTAAGGGATAGTTTAAGTGAAGTACCTGTAACACTGTTTATGTGACCGCATGACGTTTTGCTGTGCCTTTAGGATTTGTCTAACCCTAGTACTCGTGGGATGGCCTTCGGGCCATACTCAGACTCGGTTGCTCTGTTCCCTTCGTAATAAATGTATCCAGACCCAGTTGCTGCCTTCACACTATGGGAAGTTTTGGGACGCTAAAGTATCAAATTAATTCATCGGTTCTTGTTGCACTAACAAAGACTGACCTTCTTACGTGCTTAAAGTGCACAAAACATCCCCGGTACAGTTTTATGTTTAGAATGTTCAAGATTTTGCCGATTTTTATTGCTTTATTATAATTTGTTAAAAAAGTATTTAAATGCATAGTTTATAGATCGTTGTTATAATCGATATTGCGAAACGGCGCGAGAGTGCTTTAATGATGCAGCTCCTCCTCGAACATCTGCGGCATTTTGTCTCTTCTGCTCTTGGCTGTTATGTTTGCTTGCATTGAATTTAATGAAAATTACAAGCGTTTTGTTATTTTGTTCCTGAAATTCTTATTTTTTACAAGTCGGCGTAAAGCGATTTTTGCGGATTGGCATATTAGCATGTTCTATCATATGCAGCCTTTTCAGGTTAATGCTTTGAGGTATACACTTATGTAGGTTTAGTTTTACACATTCCTTTGCGGAGATCTTTTTGGAATTTTATCATGAGTAGTTAATTGCTTACCTCTGGAAGCTGTGAACTTTACTTCGTCCTGCTTGTAGTATCAGATGGTTTCGTGTTTCAGTCGATTTATTGGTTGTAAAACATGTCAAACAAAACACTGTTCGGGAAGTCGCTTGACAAATACGATTCGAACATCGATGACATCGATGAGTTGCTTTCCAAGCTAACAGAAGCTGAGATTAAGGAATTGAACGATGACATCGACCCAGACAACTCACTCCTCCCCCCTTCTCAGCGCTGCCGCGACCAAACCACAAAGGCTCCAACTGGACCCTTCAATCGTGAAAACTTAATTAAGTGAGTTCACTGCTTCCTCTTCTTAGGTATAATGCTTACTTAAACTTGAATGAGGCTGAACCTCTGTTTCCATTTCTGTTAGCAATATGTCTGAGTGCTTTGTGTGGACGAGATGAGTTATGTTTGTCTCAACATTCATTCATGCAAATCGAATGCACCTGTCTGGAAATGTTGCAGTATGAATCACCTGCGACCAACTACAATTATTACCTGTAGTGATATAGGGCGATTTGCGCGTATTGGATTCTTGCGTTGGTTGTCGCTCACAGGGTCTATTTACATTTTGATTATCATGCGGTGCGTTGAACCAAGGTGTGTTTAGAATTCCGCTGTTATTTGCTTGTAACTTTATTGCCCGCTTAGGTTCTCCAACTATGACGTGCGTATTTCCTAAATGTTATTCATGTAACGAGTCTCAGATTATTTTGCTTCTTTGATCGCTCGTTTTATAGTAGCTGTCGTCGGGAATTTTAAAACCTTCAGTTTAATTTAGAATGTTGTCCGCGCATCTGTGTTCAGTTATTTCCTTATCCTCCTCCAGATTCCTCGTGGAGAAAGCAAAGAATGACCCCGACTGGGATGAGGCAGTTCCATACGAGAAGAAGATTCGTGGGAAAGTCTTTGAGAAGAAGAAAGTTGAACCAACGACGGCGGAGAAAAATGAGCTCTCCGAACTAGGCTTTGATGTGGAATTTGATGAAAGCATCAACGAAGTACGTTATTTTTGTTAATGTTGCTCTGACCCATCAGGGCAGTCTGAAATCCTGGATGTTTATTTTTGGCTTTGTGGGTCAGCTCTTGAACTTTTTTGCGAATGCTCTTTAGTGCGAATTGTCGAATGTGTTCTGCTACGCTATTGAAGCACCTTTTCTGAAACCGAAATTGTCATAGAAGAAAATAATGGATGGCTAGGGGGTTTATGGCCATTTAAGTAGAGTTATTTTTGCATTGAAATCAAATACTTATTTTGATTTTCTTCGATACTAAAGCTCGAATTCTAGTTGGCATCATATCCATTTTCCATCACATTCTATTGCATGACAAAATGGGGTTTTCCCCTGTAGGCTCTTGATTCCTTTGCATTTTCCCTAAATTTCTCCGTTCCTCAAGTTTCTCACATTGTCAAATTTTATCAATCCATTGAACATTTTTCTCCTCTCTGGGCTCGCACACTCTTTATTGTGGTTTAGATGTTGCTTTTAAAAATGCCTTTAAAACTCATTTCCTGTCTCTTTTCAAATTCTTTTTTTTTATTTTTCCGGAAGTTTGGGTGATGTTTTAAAAAATCATGCGTTTTGAAGTTTACTCTCCACTCGATCAGTAGTACTATCGAGTTGTAGTACTTTTATCTTATCGTTCTGTTTGCAACCGTGATTGCATAATAATGTGGCTGTACGACCTATATTTACGCAACACTATTATAATATAGCGAATAGCTGATTTTGCTCATGGGTCATGTGAAATTTTTTAAGGTTAAATGTTTATTGTCTGGTAAAACTACCCTATTCTATTCTCGACTTCTGCCTTTTCCGTTTTTTTTTTTCATTTTGCACCATTATTTCCAGCTACTGCCAAAATCGGGTGCATCAACTTGAGAGGGACGAGTTTTTTGAAGTCACTGGTTTGTGGAAGCAATGGGTTTGCTTTCAGTGCCTAAGTCACTCTCGTAGTAATCTTTTGCAACTTTTTATCATGAGTATCCGCTGATTCGCTCTATTTCCCTTCACCTATAATCTTTCGGTACTTCGCCGCTTACGAATATTTCCTTCATGCAGTTTCCACCAACTCTGGCGCTTTGGCAATTCAGTTAATGAGGATTTTTATGCGATGTGGTAGTTAATACTGCAATAACTCGTACGCCCTTTGATAGTGCATGAGAGGGATAGAGCCTCTGTTCAAGGGCACGCCTAGTGACTTTGCCAGTAAGGCGGTCCACTTCCCCTTCTCTCACTCCCTGCAGCCGTATCACGTGTCAGAGTTTTTCCAAATGCACCTTCGTATGTTCTGTAGGCATTCGCTTGCCGTTTTCGATGCCATATTGTTTCAGTAAACTTGCTTATTTTCGCACAACTACTTTGAATATTCCTCACTTTTCCATAATGTCTTTTTCTGTCACGGTAATCCTTTTACTTGGAATCGTCTTGATCGTTATGAAATCGAGGTACTCGCATCATTTGTGCGATCACGTGCTGCTGGTGCACTACACGGATTCATTTGCTACAAATCGAGGTAATTGTTACCATTTTACCTCTAGGATCCCCATTATTATACTCACTACTCACCTCTTTTTCTTCCCAGTCTTTGTTTGGAACCGATGTTTCATCGGTCTACACACCTTGGGACCTCAAAGAGATGTTGCTACTAGCCCATGCACGTGATCCGGCTCTAAAGCTTTGCCTATTCAGATAGTTTTGATAGCATTCGTAAGGATAGTTTGCTTATGAAACGGAGGCTGTTAGGTGGATTGCTTGGACTAGGTCAATTGTTACTCCCCCTACTGGTGGAAGCATGAGTGAAAAAGAATTTCTAGGCTGACATGATCACTCCCTGTGCTATTTTAGTACCATACTTGGTGTTCAAGCGAGGTGTGTGGTAGTCATCTCCCACCTCTCTCGGTCCTCCTATGTTGTTAATCTCTGCGCCCGCTTAATGCTTGGGGTACCTCATTTTGACACGTGAAACTGTTAGTGCACTTAAACCATTAGAGAGGCGTCTGTATTACTAATCCCGCAATTAGTGCTAATTACTTTTTTCTAGTTTTGACGTTCGTTTTGGCATACTTAGTGAATCAGCGTATCCTGTTGCTGTCGCGTTCCTAACTTCGTGCTATGCTTAATTTATATGATTGTCACAGAAGTGCGCTTGCACCTTGAGGTTGCAGTTCTCTCCAAGTGATTGTGACATTCTCAGGGTTATCATAGAATGTGTGTGTGAGTCTATAGTGTTTGTGGGATCAGTTATTCACTTTGAAAGATGTTTTGGCACACCGCACTGTTTTCATGCTGATGGTGTTGTCCTGTGTCAGACGTGTTTGCAGCATGAACAACAAGTACAACTTGGTGCCTCGTCTCACCTTCTTAGACGCTACGCTGGAAACGGACTTGTCAAAGTCGTAGTGCTAAACTTGACCATTCTGTTTTGAATTGAGCCTATGCCCTATTTCGTTTGAAGGCCTCCTTTAATCCTATCCCACACTCCAAATTCAATTTTTCTCTTTCTCTAAGGGTGGAAAGAATTCATATAATGGGTCATTGTTTAATTGTGTTCGTTCTCATTTTAGGCCCTAAACAACGCTACCGACGATGAACTCATCGACTTGGCAGCCATCCTGGGTTTCACAGGTATGATGAATCAGGTCCAATTCCACGCCAGTATTGAGAACAGGGGCCAGGTGGGTGGCGGTTTTAGTGGTGTTGCCAAGGCGGAACAGCTCAAAATTGTTCCAGATGAACCTCCCAATATGACTGATGTTGAGGTGCGTTTGTACTTGCCTCCTCTTGCTCCCACCTAATTTGTGTGAAGTTGACCGGAAAATAGTAAAACCGTTTATTTGTGCAACACTATGAATGCGAGAGTCGAGAGGATTACAGCTAAAAGTGGGTTATCTTAGGATGTGAAGTACACAACTAACATTATTTATGCTTCACAGCCTCTGCCATACTTCCATACCGTTAGCTGCCCACTCCAGAGGTCTCTCTTCTTGCTTTTTACTTGAAACCTCTATGCATTCCGCTGTTGGTTAAGGGTTGAGGTCACCTCGTGAGCGAGTTTATTCGAAGGGCTGTGATGTAATGCGATTTCAGGACGGCATTAAGAAGATCACCGCGGACGACGCATCATTGACTGTGTTGAACTTGAATAACATCAAAAATTTGGACGCAGATGTGGTGTCACGTCTCTTCACGGCGCTGGGCGAGAACACAAAACTACGTGAGCTCCACATGGCTGGAACAGACCTCACTTCAGCCATGGTGGAGCCTCTCCTCCTCCCACTCAAGGTCAACCATACCTTGGAGGTTCTTAACCTTGAATCTAACTTCATAACTGGTGAGATATGGCTATTTTATGCTCTCTGTGCTCCCGTTCGTTCTCCTACCTGCCATTCATTCATGAATTGGCCATTCCATCTGTTTCCTCAGTTTTTATTTCAACCGTTAATTCGCTTTTTCCTCCCTCCCAATGGAGAGGATTTTTGGATCGTTAAATGCATTCAAGGTCCTATTTCTGGTTTATGCAATCACACGCTCATCTTCCTGCTATCGGTCCATCTCTGTTTTTCCTCCACCACGCTTAGCTATCCATTCCCCTTGATAATTCCACCTTATCACTTCAAGTTCTTCCATTGGCCTTGAATTCACGTATTTTTGTTTTTTGCTTAGATCAGTCCTTTTCTCGAAGTAACGTATGGCTCATTCTTGCTCTCTGTCTGAATTCACACATTTCCTACATTTTTTGGGATTATTATTTGATCGTCTGTCTGTCCTTTGGAGACCTCTCCGCATTGTTCATTCACTTTGTCCATTCTTTAGCTCATTCATTCCCAAACTACAATTCACACATTTGCCATCGTGTGCTCGTGTTTTGATCCACACCTTTCCTTCACCTCGCAGGGGACATGATTTTAAAGATTTTGGACTCAATTTCGGATCCAAAGAGCGCTATAAAGGACCTTAGGCTGGCCAATCAGCGCCAACGCGTGCTTGGAGTTCAGGTGGAGGAAGAGATCACTAAACTGGTGCTTCAGAATCCACGACTTAACAATCTCAGTCTATACTTAGACACACCGCATGCACGGGTTCAGGTCAACGAGCACCTGAAGAAGACTGTGGACGCCAACAAACGGCTTGCTCGGGTCAATAAAGGTGCCTAGTGTGACAGCCTAATTTTTATTGTCTGTTGCCATTTAACTTTGTGCAATTGTGCTTACGCTTCTCCTTTTGCTGCTCCCTCTGATTCTCCTTCCTCTCAAGTATTCTCTTTCACAGGTGGCATTGTTTTTAGAGACGCCACTTCTTTTAGCCTGTCGTATCCCACCTTAAAATGTCTCCCAAATCACTATTGGGAAGACTAGACCAGCCGCTAAGTAAAGAAGTGTTTAAATTGACCAACATTCTGTCTTTCTTTGGGGATCGGCGAACGAACTGTCTGCAATCCGATTGGCTGACGTGAGGATGTTCACCGCCCGTGGATTGCCACTCGGTTGGAATTGCACTTTTGGTGCAATGAAGATTATCGCTTCAAAGATGATCCTGTTATAGTGCTAACGATATTTGTGAATTCAAAACTATAAGAACGCTGAATTAAATGGATTTCTACCGACGATGTAGTTCAGTCCAACACAAGCACTCCAGTTTCTAACGCTGATCGAGGCTTCTTTTGTTGGAATACGTAGTCACCTAGGCGTTTGAATGACACCCGTCATTTTAGTGATGGCTATACTCCTGGATTCTGTACGCAGTCCACAGCCTCCGTTCGTTCTTGGACTAACGCATAGTTCTATTTCTAGCGAAACGGAGTAGGAGTCGAACCTCCTGGTGGCATAAACTTGCATGGCACGCTATGTTCTAAGTCCTCCCTTGCTGTCTGTGAGCTTAATGGATTTTGCTGACTGTTCACCAGTCTCATACCCATTCGCAATCAAGTGAAATCTGTATTTTGTGCTTCTACTCATCTTCCAACGTCACCATCCTGCCTATGGGATTAGAAAGAGGGGAGAGGAGGGGGAGCGCTTGGGTTGACGTTAATTTCAAAAGTCGAGTTGTGAAATGTTGTTTCACCATGTCGACGCTTTTACGATCGATCTTACAAATCTTTATTTTGTCAATCATTACTGGGTCGCCTGTGTGTGCAGCCACAGCGAGCCCTCCTGATCTGATTCTCTGGACGTCTCTACTTTTTTTCTCTCCTTCCCGAACGCATTGCACACTATTTGTTCATCAACTAATCAGAAGGTCAAGGCTAGCAAAAACTACTGAGACAAGCTAAAGTGAATCACATTAGGTCTTCGGGAGGCATATATAAACAAAGTCCTGAGTTCTGTTTTATCCATCCGATTTGAACTTTTTGCCTTCCAGCACTTCTAGAATGCACGTTCGTGAAGCCCTTCGGTACAGTACGCTGAAGAACTTAAAAATTCACACCTTATTGACCATACGTTACCCTCCTATGACTCCTCAAACAAGGGGAAAAGATTGGATATAATCAGCAGTGTCAGTAAAAAAAGTCGAGAATAGATTTTATAAAGAAGAAAGGTAAATCATTTTTTTTCAACGCTACTTGCAATGAATAGATACATTCGAAGATCAAGCTCAAATTATGCAGGATTTTGTTCGGAGACTACAACTTGTATACATGAAATATGTGTCATTTAGCTAGGCAGTCAATTAGCCCTTAAATCTATGCCTGGGGATGGTGGATAGGGAAAGCACAACAATTCGGCAGAAGCATCAAGTTTTGGAGCGAGGAGAGAGAGAACAACGATTATGGTGATGTAGAAGGACTTCCGCGATGCCAGACGAGTTGGGGAGATGAGGAATCCGTTGGTTTTTATGTTTGTGTGACTCAAATGCTATCGTTTTGTTATGTCAGATCGGCTGATCCATTGTACACTGGATTTCAGCAACCACAACCATTGTTTTGACCATCTTGACGCTCGGTCAGGCGCTTTGCTAAATGTATAACATTGCTACTTATTAATTTGTAAGTAAACATAATAAACGTGGAGAGATCTGTCATACATATTTTCAACGAGATTGGGAAATTGGGAGTTAAGAGCATGAATGTTACAAATATTTACAGATCTTATGAATACAATTTCAAAATCGCCAGAGTTCGGTTAAATCAACTTCCACAAATGTCAATTTAAGATGGAACTTAAGAAACTTTAAGGTACTGGACTACGCATTCAAGCTTTATGAGCACTTATTTGCATGATTAATCATTAATGCAGATCGCTTTAAATATACATGTGAGTTCTTGTGTGGTACATCCAGAATTGTCCACATAAACCAAGGGAAATTTTTTAATCGCCCGAAACGTAACCTTACAGTGACCAATAAAATCTGATTTTGGCAGGCATAACATAGAGTGAGGGCAGTCAGGACAAAAAAACGAACTCAGTAACTTCTTCCCGTCTTCGTATGCTATAGTATAGAAAGTTTGGTGACAAAGGGGAGTGGATCTAATCTTAGAGTCTCTATTGCCGAATGATTGACGTTAGTGTAGCGAATAAAGTACATACAACAGTGGGAAAAATTAGTTCGCTTTTTGCAATTATCCCAGCCTCGTGTTCTGCTGTAGAGTTGTTAATAATGGATGTGACACTAGTCGTAAATCACCAAGAGACTGTTGATGCGGCCTTATCTAAGCGTACTCAATGGGAGAATAAAGTGGTAGGGGGAAGGAAACGAGGCTGATCCATAATTGGCTTGGTGTTTACACGCCTGTGATGGCCAACCAAAATTACCACCTGAATCTCATTCATCAATTCGACCAATCTTCAGTTTTAGTTGAAATGGTGAGGTGGATCAGTGCTACACCAGAATGACTGCATCTGCATCTGTCCCTACCCCTGTCCAGCATTCATTGCCTGGCATAGTCGCACACAAGAGAAGAGGTGTAAAAATGAACTCACCACTCCTAATTACCCTTAAAAAAATAATGATGCAACATAATTGCCCCTACAACATAAAACACCAACCCAAATCACCACCCGACATTTTAAATGCCGAGTCTACCCAGGGAAATAATCCAAATTTACTAAACCAACTCTTGAGTGGTGAATTTGAGGCATTCTATTGACCTCAAATCGTTGGCTTAACGCACTAAAATGACCACCATGTTTTGCTGCAAAATTTTGGGAATGCATTTCAAAAAATGGTGCAAAATCAAAATAAATAAAAAAGAAATCAAAATCAAGCGTGGCCTTACATAGTGCAGACGGTAAGGGCGGGATACCTCAACCCTGCTCCCCAAATGACATTGGACTGAGCAAAGACAAAAGTTTCTAAGTGCCTACGCCTAACTTAATGCCTCCTCTAGCAATCCAAAAGCCGGATTTTACAAAAAAAAATTATCAACACTGTCTCTGTAGGACTCATAGCGCTGCAAAACTCAAATGCGCCGACTTTACAAGTAGATTTATGAGTGGCTTTCACAGCAAGCAAAGTCTTCTTCAATCGCTTAAAGTATTTGGGAGGGCTACAGAATTAGAGAGGAGGCATTTATGAAATGCGACAAGTCTTAAGAGGTCTACGTTGTAATCAGGTGATGTGTAGATAGGATAAACCTCTGCAGAAGGCAAGCAGCAATTGAGACACACATTAGTTCAACCCTCCTTTTCAATGGGATCAGTCTGATTTATGGCGAATATTAGCAAAAGGAAAGGCAGAGGCAGCAGCAGCGGCATCAGCAGAAGCGACAGGGAGTAGCATTGATCGATGCAACTAATACGCGAGAGCTGACCTTCTCCCACAACTTCCAAGTGGCTGAATGACACTCTAACGCCAGCCACTCCCTTCTCTTCCCCAATCACCACTGCCGCTGGGTATTCGCTCGCATGAGCCGCTCGTATCGATCGATTAAACACGCGTGCGCGTATCGCCCAAGTGCGGAGGTGCTAGCGCGACCTTCGCCTCCAACACACAACTGTTTCGCGGACGGGGGAATAAAAGGAAGAACAGGAAACAGAGAGCAAGCCGTTCTTTATAGAGATTGCAATACAGTATGATGCGATTCGAAAAGTGAACCACGCATGTGAACACCGCGCCCTTTGCTCGCAATTTGGTTCGTCGGTCTTAAAAAAAGAGTGGGGCGTGTAGACGACGGATTCGAGGTGTCCTAGCAAACAGTTCGGGATTCAAGCCATAATCCTGACTGATAGAAATTAAGTAAATAAATCGCAACAAGTTCTCCAACAAATTTTTACATTTTTAGAATTTTATGCAACAATTGCGCCATGACTTAGGTCACCGTCAGTCCTTGTCTTTTCGCTGATCTTTAAAAGTTTATTGTAGCGAGATGTAAAAAAATGCAACAATTCTACAATATAGTTGAAACGTTGAAAATTGTGCTAAAATGTAACGCAGAACAACGTTGTAGATTTTACAGTCCAAACTGATTCAAATAAAATTCAGATTAGTATTGAAGTAGTAACCAAAATCGAAATTCGAGTTAACTGCCTTCGATCACTTCGTTCCAATGAAAGGGAGCTATCCTAATCTGGTGTTTAACTATTACCCAATTTTTTAGTTCTTTTTTTCGGGTCGGAGTAAACATCTCATTGTTTACCCGCTAATTGTAGCTAGCAATTAGACTAAAAGGCGATTATTTAAACCGATCCCGACGCGTTTCAATTAAGTGCTTCACCAAACAATGCCTTCAAATATCGTTTTGGCCATCTAGTTTGGTGTAAAGACCATCCCCATGAAGGAGAATTAAAAATTGCCGAAAATGTGGAACGATTAAAAAATCCCATACACAAATAAGAGACTATTTTGAACTCAGTCATAAAATACAAAAAGACTGCTTTTTTCTCTTCCTTTTTAATGAAGGGGATTTGCTCAGGCGCCCACATAAATTCCACATCTTGTTAATTAAATAACTAATAGTTGTGAATGAAGCAAGTCCTATTGAGCGGTGCTAATGGATATAAATGAGGCAAATCTTAGTTTGCTCATGTACTCCGAGTTCCAGCGTAGATGGATGTGGCAATTCCTTTTTAACTCACAATCGCTCATTATTAGCTTGCCACAAAACTTGTTGTGCAATAGACAAAGTATACTACAAACAACCTGACCGAACAATCAATTACTGTTCTACTGTTCTTGAATTGTTTGCTGATCTCGCACCGAAGGGGGTCATTGTCAGGTATGAGCATAAAGGTGAAAGAACACGAAGCTCATGTCTGCCACCCATTTGCGCATACAAACAAGTAACAACACCTGCATGAGCGCATGTTTCGTTGACTTCAAGGTGGTTCAAGCGTGACTCACCTTATTGTTGATGGCACATGAGAGATGCGGGTTAAAGCACACAAATTTTGCAGTGCTCATCCAAAATCAACGACTCACCTCCGGGTGCATTGGCACCCGCCATTGCACCATCCTGATCCGAGGTCTCGGCCATCTTCTCCAAAATGATGTCCACCATTAAGTCAAAGACGGCCTTCACATTGACGTTGTCCTTTGCCGAGGTCTCGAAGAACTTCAGACCTGCATGCCAGTGAAAAATAATCGACAGTTTGAACTGTGCCAACGCTTAAAGGATGGAGTGATTAGGTATGCGCATGTGAGTCCCACATTTGTGCAAGAATAAATGAATTAATTTAGACTTTTGCACATAAAATTAAGTAGCAACTAGGGGGTGCGTATCGCTATTCATGCACTCATTTAACAGTCTAATCAACAATAGGCGAAAGGCAATGCCTTCCATTGCAGGACAATGGCACAATGTCTTAGAATATAGTGCTGATGCTAAAGAATAGAGTAAGAATTGATTGGCCTTTTACAATAAAAAACCTTAGAAAAATCTGATATCAACTCACCAAGAGTGTCAGCGAGCGCACGTCCGCGGTCCGTTGTTATCTGCCGTTCCGCTGCAAGATCCGACTTGTTGCCAACTAAGACGACCTGAGCATTGTCCCAGGAATAAGTCTTGATCTGCGTGACCCTTAAGTAAATCAATCAGAAGTATTCTACGGCAAAATGAGCAAGGATGCTGCATGACAAAATTAAAAAACTAAAATTCTAAAAGAATGACTCTGTAGATTAGAGATCGTAACAAACTTTAAGACATTCGAAAGACGGGTGGCAATACAACAGGAAAGACGCTATTTTATTATCGCAAACGAAAGTTGAGGGAAAGCAATGTAAATCTAATGTTTGCATAATTTTGGCATGCATTACCAATCGAAAAACTGCAGAAATAATGTAGTCGATTGAGAGATTACCAGTCTCTAACAGCGTTAAACGAGTCCTCGTTTGTGATATCGTACATTAAAATAAAACCAAGGGCCCCACGATAATATGCTGTTGTAATCGTCCGATATCGTTCTTGACCAGCAGTGTCCTGACAAAATTATAAAAAAATTGTGCCTACCCATATTTGTAATTTTACCCTCTTGTCTTGTCGAAAAACCGTTTTAACTTTAAAGTCGATTCCAACGGTTGACACAAAAGCGGAAGTAAAACTGTCCTCAGCGTAACGAACCAAAAAGGAAGTCTTTCCAACTGAGGAATTTCCAATGATTAAAATCTTAAACATATAATCAAAATTTTGATCTGATGCATCTTTTGCAGCGCTCATGCTCATTCAGAGCTGGTGTGAAATTTACAATAGAGCGGGCAATCTACAAGATTACAAGTTGCAAAATCCGAAAAACTAAAACAAACGCAAGTTCAAAAAATAACTACTATTTTATTAGTCCACTGAAGCAATGGTTGGTTAGAGACACATTTATAGTCAACGACTAAGCATTTGTTTATTACTATATATAGGTTTAACGAAATGTCAATAAAATTTGCCGTAAACACTTTTGAATGCAATTAACAAAATTCGATGCATTTTAACTTGCTTCGCTAAACTTCAAAGCGCAAAATGTGATGCTAAAGTGCCACTGGTACAATACTATATATTATAACATACGCTTATTGTAGCTGGCTCAGACTTTCTTCGGATGGAAGATGTCATGTTAGGTAGAGTGCGTTTTATAGGGAAAAGTAAGCATAAGGTCTTGGCATGGCTCGAAGACCAGCTCGCATGCATAAGGGCAAGGCAGATGCTAAAGTAAACACCACACACCAGGTAGTGACAAAAAAATGGGTTGGGGCTGCAGGGCTCCGAGGTTATTCGCGAGGAAGAAGCAAGCACTAAGTTGGGCTGAATATGCAATCTCGGAGGGAAAAAGATATTAACCCTTAAATTGGCCCGAAGGCCCCCACTGGCACACAAGTGTAGAGCGAAACCAGAGCGACTGGTTGTCATAGGAGTGACTGCAAAGCAATTCATTTATTATATTGAAGTCTTGTCTCAACTGTAGAGCTATGTATTGCATGGTTTATATGTCCACGTATTATCTGACGTTTACATTGTTCTCTGTCTGATCAAAATGTAATCTTTTCTATTCTGCTTATAGTACGTGCATTTAGCCCAACTTAATTTTCTCTACTTGCTGGGAAGTCTCAAACGTTACCGTTATGGCAGCGGAAAGCGAACCCGACATTCTTTGATGACTTTTAGTCTGTTATTCGTCTTTTGTGACGCATATCGTTGGTGCACAGAAAGCGAACATATATGTTGTGGGTTTACTCTGAATTCCTCACAACAGAAGTGTTGATCGTTTTCATAGACACCAAAGATCACGTTTCTCCTGTACCATATCTGCTTTAGGTCAGAGTTCGGTTGTCGATTCCTGGAAGCAAATGATGGTCAAGAGATGTATGTGGTCTCGATTCTGGCTCATACCGAAAGTAACTCCAAATCGATTTGAAGCTAGGGGGGAGACCAGGTTGCGTATCATACCGTTTCATGCTAATGGGGATGACTCGTAGGTGCATCCGTGCAGTACCGAATGTGTTGTGATGGTTGGCACGGGATCGTCGAGACCATCGCCACCTAATGTATGCTGGCTGCACTTCTACGCGTGAGCTTAGTCTTCGATCTAAGCCCTAACTTAATCCTTTCTATCTCCGAAAAACATGTAGGAAGTTTTAAAGAGCTACAACTTTACAATTTTATAGATTCATCAGCAGCTCTTTGATGTTGTTTTGGAAACACTATCTGTCTAAGAGCCACATAAACATCACCCATATTGCCATCCTGATACTTAATTTTGGAGCCAACGTGCGGTGGATCCAGCCATTCCGCCCTAGCAGAATGTCCAAGACGCTAACAAGCTGAAGCTATCTCGCTGCAAAGCAAAAAGGAAAGAGCGTCCTTGCATGCCAAAAATGCGCTTTATTGGCACCAAGCCGTGACTTAATTGCGTCAGCTTTTCTTATAAGTAGTATGGTAATGCTAAGTGTTAGCTTGTCTTTTGGCGGTCAATTCCATTTTATGTTCTATATTTCAAATTGACTTTGCGCTCCGCTCCGATTTTGCAACCAACAGCCATAGAGACATAAAAATAATCGAAGAGGTCTGTCTGCCTTTCAAAATTTCTTGATTTAAGTCATATTTTTGTACCATCAAATTCAAATCAACACGAAGGTCAGTTTTACGAACCGAGAAGCAGAAGGATCATCGGGACTACGAAAGGAATCAAGGGTCAGTACTCCTTGTAAACCGAACGTAGTGCTATGATGACGGGTGATCTGTGACAGGTTGCATAGCGAAACGCATCCCAGATCAGGTCATCCAAAATAGGGAGGTCATTTCAAATGCCTAGACCAATTTAAGGTTGGCAAATTTGGTTACATTTGTATAAAGGAAGAAGATCTACCCAAACCAGGAGATTAATTCTATGCACTGTGCCGAGAGAGCTCTAGTAGCAATGCTCACCTCGAAGAGTCTGATCTGAATCATCACTGTAAAAATTTTTCAAAAACCCGCATGGATGTCAGTCATTTTGGTGGTCATCTTCCTTCTGCCGATACGGCAGCTATCAAGCTGTGTCAAAGCTCCTTCCGTTTTGGTTGCAAGTACTGCGCCTACTTTTGTCTTCACTGCCAAAGGTGAAGTCTGGGGATTCTACAAATTTATTGCTCATTTTCTTTTTGCAGATTAGTAACAGATTCCAGCCTCGCAGCTTCCGCAATTTGAATTTGACTTCATGAGCTAAGGCAAAGGCGAAACAACCCTTGCAAACTTTTATATAACACGATTTTTTAATATCTATGGCATCTCTTTTTTATAAGCAATTCAGATTTGCCCAAAAAAGGACAATGAACCATGTATTTAATCACTTAGGGTCCGTTTATGAGTGACCAATAAAATATGCCATGCTCTAAATGTTATTAAATGAAAAGGTCCCTATCGCCCAAAGGTTAATGTAACCTACTTGACGTCTGGCGGTTACCATGATATCTGTCTGACCCTTGTAGGTGTGGAGCGATCTTCGGGCTTTCCTGAAGCCGAAATTCATTTTCCCTCCTTGGAATAAATGCTCTCAATTTTATATGATGCTTTCTTTCACCTATTGGAATGCTTTGGAACACTACAGCTAAAATTATATAAATGGTGCTATAGTGATAATAACAATGCAGTACCTACTGTAACGTTTTGTTTATGTGACTACCTGACGACCGGCGGTAACTTTAGAATTTATCTGGCCCTTGTACTCGTGGGCTGGCCTTTGGATCATACACAGGCTCAATTGCCCTTCCGGCTTCGGAATACGTGTATCCAATTGCACATACTGACGTCTTATACTAGCCATGAGGTCTCGGAACGTTACACTAGTGACAGTGGAATGCGAACACAACATATTTTTTTAACGACTTTTAGGTATAAAGTGCTTTTGAAGACCTTCTGCAGCAGCTGAGGTGGGGTCTCTTTGCGCGGCTTGTTCTTCGTTGGCCGCTTGCTAAAAGCGACATAGTGTCCGCGAAAATCTGTTGCTTAACAGACACCACTGCCTTACTGCCATTCTACGTCTGTGTTGCTGAAACTTGTCAATTAATCAACTGATTTCCGGAAAAGAAGTGTGCGCACGAGCCAATAAGCAAGAGTTCGGTCGGATGATGCAATGCTTCAGTTCCTACAAATCGCCTACTTCTACGTAATGAAAAGTCTTAAAGCGCTACGAAGCATTTTTAAATCTAAAACTTCGCCACAATTATTTAGGAGCTCAAACAAATGAACAAACCATGATCCAATGTGAAAATAAATTCGAAGATTTAAGATAGTTAAGTCGATATTATTGTTTGGTTCCGCCTTGCAAGTTAAAATCCACCTTAAAAAGTACGCCTAATATTTACTCAAAAATTATTAAAGAAATAATTCTGCAGAATTAATTTAGACCCTCTGAGTTTGTTTCTACTAACTAATTTTCATGCATTATGCAGCGCCGTTACTTTAAGGAGTAGATTTTCATTATTTTTAGATGGGGTGGAGCATAATAACAGTCCTTTTACTTTGCACGGCAAATCCAAAAATTTTCCAGTATGTTTATTCTCAAATCCCGAAAAGGTATGTATTCCTGGAATCTGCACCGAATGTTTCCGTAATTGTGGGACACGATGCTTATTTTGTATGCAATGGTGGAATTCGATGGACTTATGAGAGCGACCTAAAAAATTCCGGGCGAGAAGTTGGTCCGCATCCAGTCCCTATGAATTTCAAGAAGGAAGTCACATCAGTGTACAATTTGAATCCACTTCAACCGTCTTATCACACATCTAGTAAAGTGAACGCTCCAACATCCGTTTATTCGATGCAGGATGACCGAGGCCGATTGATTTTGCGCATTGATAATGCAAGTCTTTCTGATGCTGGAAACTACAGATGTCATGGCGAAGTGAATGTGCAGGATGCCTTCCTTAGCGTTCACCCCGTGGAACACTTCGCTGTTAATCGTTCAAGCGGACTTCCCGCTGTTCCACTCCCAGCTGGAATGATCAAGTTTTTCAAAATGTTTCCTTCCGATCGCGCTAGTGAGGTAAGTTGTCTTTTAAGTTATTATTGCTTCTTACAAATCAGCTTCACACTTATTGCTACTTCTCTTCCTTACTTCAGGTTATTCTATTCTGCCCACTGACTCCAGCTCAACGAGTTCTTGCATGGGAATGGCGAGAACCCATTCCACCGGATTCAGATCTTGCAGCTGTATTACCCACAGATGCGATTCCTAGCAGGACCGTTTCTTTCAACGAATCTGGCATATTTTCGAACGACAATGTGGAAATCGGACCTGACTTAGCTTGGGTTCGTATCCTCGATCCATTTTCACCCGAGGCACCGAACAAACTTTGGTGCAAGTTTGAGATGCAAGATCTTTGGCACAACAAGGTCTGATTCGTGATAATTCCCTCTCTTTTCTACTTTCACGAAACCGGCATAGTAGCTGGTTCTGTTGACTCGGTTTCTTTTGAATTCTTATCATAATTTCAGTCATTCATCTAAAATGCGTTCTCTTTAACCTTTTTTACATGGTTTATTGTCTTTTATCGAAGGAAAGATTAAATATATCAAATATTTTCGCAAAAATGAGTATAAGGCTTAAACAATTGTCTTTTACTGTTAATTATAGTCTCTTATAGAATCTGTTTATTCTGAAAGTAGTTACCTTCTCGGTTTCAGAGCGGCACGTAAAATGATGGAGACAAATAACAATAAGGAAATGCGTGGGACACAATAATAAATCCTTCCTTTGCATCTATTTTTTAAAAGGAAAAAATTTGAAGTGCCATAGATTTGGGATACTTGTTATGCCATTATTAGGTCAGTATTATAGATATAACTAGCACTTTTTTGATTTTTAAATTTACAGAGGGGCCACCCTTCCTACTACGAAATCCACTGGACCCTCTATGAGCCAATTAACGTCAAAGTTAAGCTGCACAACTCCTCCACAGAACCCCTCTTCTACGATCAGGAGGCTCGTAATGGCGGTTTTGGTGGTGGTAGTGGTAGCGTCGACTACTCTGCAGTCTACGGTAGTCTAGGATTGGAGCGAGAGCGCTCCTCTCATCGTGAACGCATGGCTTTACTAGCAGAGCCGAAACCGCGCCTCATTGAAGGCTACCCGGCACGTCTTGCTTGCCTCTATCGTCCCATTCATGGTGGACAGAATGTCGGCCGACCAGTGCAAATAGCAGCATGGTTTCGAGGCGAGGATTTTCGTTCCATTCCGCAACCACCGTTTCATGTCAACAATACACAGGAAGAGGGTGTCTCTTGGCTCACTGTCCGTGCGTTTCCCGTCTATCCATCGGAGGAGGGAGTCACTTCGTCCCTCGAGTTGGCCTCACAGGTGCCTTATGAAAAGATCACCTGTGTAGTTAACAGCCTTATTGATGAGGAGAACAACTATACAGTCAATTCCAATGCCAGGTGCGTTGTCTCTGATTTGCCTTAAGGCATCTCTCACTCCCACCTCTGATTGGAACTCTTCCCCTCCTCTTCCTCCTCTTCGTAAATATGTGCACAAGGTAGAAAAACGATAACCGCTGCAGTTCTCTCATCCTTTGAGTACTTCCTACAAAAAGGGATGTCTCTTTTGCCAAGATATAATGCAATTCAATAGCAAAGGGAGAGAGAAAGAGCTAGAAAGAGAGAAAGAAAGGCATTTCAAACCGAGCATCACTTTATTATTTGTGGATATACACATCGAATGACGAAGTTTATTTTTCCTTTTTTTTTTCATTCAGCGCCATTGTGGAAATTGTGTTCTTTTGTAATTTTAAAATCGTTCGATTTCCACTCTCATAGCAAAACTAATTTAAACAGTTGGATGAGAAAATTCATCACACCCCTGGGGCTTTCCGAAACCTCGTTTGCTCCCACCATCATGAGCATCAAGCCTATCAAGATCAACCAAGTTCGCGTGTTGGAATAAACACATTTTTAAAATAACATTTTTTATCCCACTAGATTTAGCTTATGTAAAAAGCAGGTGTTTCGGTGTGTCCCTGTACTGCTCTCTAATTTCCCCAGGTGAGTTGAGAAGACTGCCATTCTTTCACCTTTGCGAGTAGGTTTGTATGTAACTCCATTACAGGCTCTTTGTTTGAGGGTGTCAGTGCTAAGCATGAGGAGGGTGGGCATATTGTCAAACGTGTGGAAATGGCTTTAAAGGTGTGAATGTTGTCACGAGGTTATGGTTTTAGTGCTTTCGCTAAGACTTATATAATGTCAAGGTTGTCACTATCCCCATTCGGCTTTTCCTTAACATTCACTTTCCAATTCTTAACCAAACACCGCCCAATTCAAATGTGGACAACCCTACAAGAGAGGGAATGATGATGATGATGATGATGAACAGTAACAATATTTAACTGAGCTCAATTGATGATTCATCCTCCTCGTCTACAGCTAAAATTTGGCTCATGAGACCCTAGTCGTTTCATTTTTAATGGGAAACACGTCACTGTCTATCATTTCGCTGTGATATTCGACATTTTTATGGTATTACAGTAATCTGAGGGTATCAGAATCAAGTGGATGTCTTACGCGCTATTTGCATTTTCACAGGAATGCTTGCCGGGCAGCTGTAATTTAGGAATGGGGCCACCATGCTTAAGATCACGTTGGCATGCATGGGATGACTGTGCTAAATAAATTTATGGTGCTTGTATTTCCAGCCCTCTGCTGTATCAGTCTTGGAGGCTACGGTGACGCCCGCCCCTCACCCTTCCCCTCCCCCTCCCTTTCACCCAACGCCGTGTTTATCACACACACCATCTTGATAAACGATGGCCTTAACTAGCCTACGTGATCAACACTTGATCTTTCGTTTCATCTTGAGGAGTGGAGGATGGGAAGAGCATCTTGCACACACCAGTGTTTGATTTTCCTGCTGTTCAGACACCGTATTTGACATGAATCACTATTGGATGTCAATCAGACCATAAAGGCTGCCGATGTGGACTTACCACTCTCCCTGCACTCCTATGTGCCTTGCCTTGAAAACGCTACCAGCCTATAATCACGACCACTGGCGCCTATGTTTGCGTCCATTCGTTCGCTTAACGGCCTCTAGCTGGGAGCAAATGAGATTAGTTTCCACAAATACGCCCTTCACAGGGAAACCGTTGGTTGCATCCTGAAGGTAGTGACAAGACAATAGGCATGAGCTTTTTTTCTCCTTATACGCAGTGGGCTTTTTGGTGGCTGATAGAAGACAGGTTTGAGCACCCTTGCGAACGCCTTTCAATGCAGCATCATCAAGCAGGGATGACCATTGTCTTGACGAGTTGATCTGCTTTCTTATCTTTAACCCGTTCTCTGGAGTCGAAGTCCTTTAGCCAGTGTTCGGCGTAGCTAAAAAGAATGTGTCCAATTAACTTTTGTGATTGTTGATGCGTGCGTTTGTGCGTATTTACTGGCTGGAATGCCCTTTTTCCTTTGTCATCTTGTGATAGTCCACTAACGAACGCCCAGCGGCTGGATAACTTTAAATATCACAATCCTGTTGACCTCGACCTCACGGGGATCGGTGGTACTATTTAAGGGCATCCATGAACGACAATCGTTACCAAACCTATCTTCTATTTTATATTTTGTTGTTACGATGCCCTATTACTACTTGGTAATCTGGCGGTCAAAGCAGCCAATCACATTGCAGTCAAATTCCTGTTATTATTGGCTCTTTAAAAGGCGCTCCTTCCACCGCCCTATGATTGGCTTCTGATACCAGATGTTATTGCTAATCTCGGGGTCATGGGAAAAGAGAGAGAGAAGGGTATTGCAAGCAACCTTCTATGCCCTTCAATTCTCACATCTCTAATTCAGTAGATATCTGCAGTATCACCGACGTAGCATTAAGTTTTTATTCTCTGTGAATTTAACATTTGAACAGTTCTCACTTTCTCTGTCAAAGGCACACCCATCGTAAATACCTCTTATTTTATTCACATTATTGCTTCCCTTGGTTTTGAATTAGGCTGCTTGTCAGCCCGAAGTCACCAAAGTCAAAGATGCATCTCTTTGAGTTGAGAAGCAATAGGACGTACTAGGCTTTGCTCTCGGGTTTACACATTTGGCATCCAAATTCCCTTTTGATGGTCGAATTGTGTAAACGAGAAGGCCTGTTGTGCGCACCAAAGATGCTTACCGAGCCCTCCAAGTGGGGAGAGCACTCCACTTGAGTCCTTCACTAGGATCTCTGTTAGAGAAATAACTGCGCAAATCTGCCGGGTTGCATGTCATTTAAGTCCATAATAGCTAGCGTGTTGCGTACTTGATATTTGTCCAAATCTTTACCACCAAGCTTTACAAGTTAATGAGTTTCCCAGATCTATGGGCGTTTCTTCTTCATGCGGGAAGTTGGAGCGCCTTTGGGCACAATTCTTGCAGGATTTTATAGCAGTAAACATAATCAGTCGGTGGTAAGTGTTTGGCGAGTGTTGATGGAGGAAGCTCGTGCCGTGGACTGCCACCAACAGCTGACAGCTGTGGGGCTTTTGTAAATGGAGGGATGCATGGCAAGAAACAAAGGTGATCGGGAAGGAAATGATAGCATGGAAACTGAATCGCCTCTCCGTCAATGACCATTATGATTAAATGTCATAAGTAACCTTACTGACATTACTAGTGCATTTCATTTAACCTGTCATAGGTAGATTTTATCTATAAACGGCAAAGGTGACATTGTTTTTAAGATAGTCAGTCAATTTTCAGAGGCTCTAAGGCAGTTTTTCACCTTGACGAATACCGGTGACTAGACAAATTCAACTATCAAAAAATTATTCGTCTTAGTGACAACCCTTTGTGACAATACTAGTCGCTCAACGTCAGTGTCAAAATCTTTTCCTTCCTCTCTATGTTACAGCCTCGTTTTGGAAGTGATTCGGCAACCTCGGATAGTGGAAATTCATAAGATGTCGGCAGAAGTGTCTCTGGGTGATTTTGTCAAAATTACTTGTGTGGCACTCGCCAATGGGAAGCCAAACATTTCTATTGACTTCAGTGCCACTGCTGGTAGGCGTCCATGGGGCTCCAATCTCGACAATAGGCAGGAACAACATCGAGAATCTCTTGAAACCGGCAGTCCCGAAGACGTGCAGATGGCTGGATGGTATCCTATGGTGGAATCCTATCGCCTAAAGCTTTACCGTCCTCCTGTCGATCCCACCAAACCAATGCTTCACAAACTCGTGGTTGACATTCGTGGTGAGTGGTGAAAAATCGTATATCCTCCACCCACTTGAGTAGCTTTTTAGATACGCCAAAAGTTTGGGAAGTGATCGTTGATATCCAGATTTTGTTCACGCCCATTCAGTTCACTTTATTTTGTTTCTCACAGTGACATGTTGCTGGAGCCACGATGGTCTCAATTCATCATAAAGTTCTGCGTCAGGCTAAGTTTTTTTAATAATCACCGAGAAATTGTGATAATAAACTCTTTAATGACCTTATTTAATAGCCAAGACCAGATGACACGAGGCGCATAAACAGAAGTGACACGAATTGCCCACAGTCTTGACCGAAATTTTGCCCCTCTCTAAAGCGTGGTCTTAAATGAACATCGCCTGTGAGCATTTTCTGACCATTTAGGAGGTATTTTGCTTTCATTTATTGAAGAGGATTTGGAGGTGTTTAAATCACTTCTAAATGGAATCTTTATACTTTGACCTGCCAATTTGCTGTGTACTCCGTGGTGCTTTTCGATTCATTTCTGGAGGGTGACTTCAACTTACCGGTACCGATACGGCAGGACTATCAAAAGGTGGAACATTTAACTTCCCTCTCGGGACTGTAATGCCGACTGCCTTGGTTTAGAGGAATTACCGACACCCGTGCCCGTTCCCACCAAATGGTGACAGTCATTTCCCGTTGTGATCAGAGAGTTTGTCTCGTTGACGGTTGATGAGGTGACTAGAATGTGCTCACCGCGGCTTGTAGGCTGGACGAGAGGTGACTGCGACTGGCAGCACAACTACACCCTGCTGTGCTTGGAGGCTTTCCTCGTCACCCTCGCGGGGAGCTGCATTCATCACATTTCTCTGTTGCATGCATGGAACACCAGAATGTCTTGTCAAACGATGAGTGTTCCCCAACTTGCCCTGGTTGTCATGCATATGCCCTAGCCATTGGGCAGTGCCTTCACAACAGTCCTCCCCCACACACTCACAAAATAGGAAGCCTCGATTGGGCTTAGACACATCAACAGGAGTGAGACAATAAAGGTGTGCATGACCGGCGGTTGACAGGTTGGCTGAGCGGGTAAGAGAGTGTGATGTGACCCAAAATACCACAAATTTGACAGCTCCATTTGTCATGAATGTCACCACCACCACCACCCATCTGTCCAAACTGGCATTTCCATGTGGCAAGGGAACTGGGAGTGCGGCAGACGGACATGTGACGACATGAATGTGAGATTTTGACTGGCCTTGACCTCGCCTGAATTTGTTCCAGTTGTTGAAAGCCCAATGAGATGACCAACTTGTGCAGCCCTTGCAGTAAACAATGGTGCACCCGCAATGGCAATGGTGCATTCCAGTCCACCTGGGAAGTGGCCAGCCTTGATACCTTTGCAGTGCATTTCAGCATGGACAGGGAATGCAAGGAGGCGAGATCACGTATGCAATGTGAAGGATTGCCTTCATCTCCTCCTCTTCAACACAAAGTAGGCTGAAGTTGGAGATA